ACAGAGTAATACAGAGTTTCGTATTATAAGCTGTTCTTATGCCCGAGTATGACAGATAACACATGACCCATCCTAGACCAGATTTGATGACGCATTGCATCGTCCTCTTTGTAGGGGTACTTAGCTTAGTCACCACTATATGATTATTGAGCACTTGCAGTGCCAGAGGTATCTCCCATCCTTCTATCGGTTGGAGCCATTTCGTGTTGATCACGAACGATGTTTCAGGAGCTGGGGATCCTCGTATCCTACCGCATAAACATAAAGATTTGTTGCTATGCCAGAGTATTTCAAATAGCGAATGATTCGTCCAGGGTCATGTATTAGTAACATTTGCAGTAGCATATATTAGGTAACGGTTTCTCAGAAAATTGTGATCAACACGAGATTGCTCTAACGGGTAGAATGATGCAAGATGTATCTGACATTACCTATACTCAAATACAATAGAAGTGTGAACAGCTTAAACGCACCCCCATTTCGACACAGCTGCGATCATGGGTGCAGTGCGCCCTAAAATCTGGGTTTGGAGGAGTCATTCGTTCCAAAAGTTTCATAATAATGATTTTACTAATTTATAATGAATAGCTCCAAAAATGAAGAAACGTATTAATAAACATGAGATTTCTCACTGAATTGAGTCCATTCTGTCGACATTGTCATTAGCAACTGTTAAAGATACCTCGCCGCAGTCATAATATATCAGTAGTTTGTAGTCTAAAGAATATTAAAGCACTTGACAACAGATATGTTTAGCGCATGAACTGAATGAAAAAACTCTTCCATGCAATAACAAATCTTTAATGTTGAAACACTCTATGTAATAAACGGTGAGGCGAAAAAAAGATTTACTGGCCTAACTGTACTTCAGCAACCAGAATCATTAAATCGCGTTATCACGCGTCACCACCACGTTGCACTCAAAAACGAAAACGTACCACCCGAGTAAAGCTAAAAATGAAAAATTTTATGCAGCCGTGAGCATTTTAACACTAAGCCGGTTTTTCTAACAAATAGACTCTTCTGTTCTTTTAGACTAATCATTAGTTTCGTTCGAAGCTTTTATTTGGCAATGAAATGGTGTTAAGTAGTTGCTTGCGTTTCTGCTCGGTTGATAGCCGTTTAGATAAACGCTTTTTGAGGGGCATTGAGGATTTAAAGATTTCTCAGACAGGCTCCAACGTTTCGTTGACTTCTTTCTTAGCTTGATCCACAGTGGACTTTCTAACAGATACGTAAGTGCAATAATCGCTGCCGCGAAATTCCAAATGGCTCAACAACTGCGTTTTTCTCCAGCACAATCAAGAGTGGTACTCGCGTTCGTTGGTTATCGTTCTTAAATACTTTTTTCTTCAGGAATGTGGTTCTTTTAGGGCTGGTTTTGTTTAAATGGCCTTATCTGTTTTTTATACCTAGCTCCTCTCTTCTCTTCGTTTCCCTTTTCTTTCTTCTCCTTCTCCTATGGTTTTTCCTTCTTACCTGCCGCGTAGTCTTCTTTAAATTTTTTCTCTTTGTTATCTTCACTTAATCTCTTTCTCGGTCTTTTTACTGG